TTGTTAAAGGGAACATATTAAAAACCATGAAAAGAAATTTTCTGACAGCGGGGCACAGCTTTCGTAACTCCAGTTGTCAGCCTGTGGGAGACAGATAGTATAGTTTAGTGGTTGGGCAGTGGGAGTGGAACCTCTGTTTGAGTGGTGGTAGTAAGGTAGTAAGGTGGTAGGAAGGTCACTTGGTTGGGGGATTCTTCCAGGTTTTGCTGGAAGAATCCAAAGTTTTGCTTGAAATTGTAGGATTTTTACTCCCTGTGTTGTCTCTTCTGACCATGGCAGTCCTTGGTTGAAGCTTGGCAGCGCCCAGCAGCGCGTGTTTGTGGCTCTGTGCATTCCAGTCGGTGCTCCCGCTATGGGTTACCATGGTTAGTGTGTAGCGGAGCAGGTCACATTGGCATCTGGACCAACAAAGGACCCTTTGGCTGGCTGCGCCTTGCCTGTCCCGTTGCCCTCTGTTGTGCCCTTTGCCTGGTACCTGGCACTGGGCCTGTTTGTCTGCATTTCCCCACTTCAAATCCCCTTGACCTTTCATGGGCACTCCGCCATTTTCCCTTGGGTTGTGGGTGTTCCGGTGGCGGCAATGTGCCCTTGCCTCGCTGTTCCCTCAGGCACCCAGTGCAGGGGGGAGCAGCCAGACTTGTGTCCCTGTGAGTCCCGGCCAGCGGCCAGCATCCCCCTAATGGTGGCACAAAGCCACAGTGCAAAATGAGCCTCCCCTGGTGCTGCCATATTGTATTGCCTGGGCAGGATCCTTTGAGCTGGTCTCTGTGACTTGTGTTGACCTTAGCACTTTCTCAGTCAGTGGACCGTTTCCCTGCATCTTCCCCTTGCAGTGCCTCCTGCAGATGTCTCAGAAATCTTTCAACTGAAAAGCAGGCTCCAGCAACAGAAGCTGGTGCCAATGTCCTGCACATGGACATTGTGGGCCAGACTAGGTTATCTAAGGAGCAAAAGTATTGCTGGCAGTGGGTCTGCAAGGATAAGTTAAAGACCCCATAGGGAAGAGCAGCCAAAGCCTTACATCTGCATGAGAGTAGCAACTGGGTTACAGCTCACTCAGTTTCAGTATTCGGTAAGGCTGCAGTAAGAGGCTCAGTAGATTTATTAGCCCAATTTAAATTGCCTGAATAATTCTAGAAAGTAATAATCAAATAAAAAAAATTAAATACTTTATTTCTCTAGAAGCATAGATTTCTGGAATTTTAACGTTCCATAATAAAACAATTTTTCCTCTCGCTCTTCTTTCTCTAAACATTAATCTCCAGTATACAAATCCAAATTTTCTTATCTAAAACATTTCAAAACACAAAAAATCCACATTAATTCCACAATAAGCCCTAAAAACCATGCCTTTCTTATGAGAGAGAGAGCTACACTTTAACCATATACATATTATCAACTACCTTAAACACAATCCTAGTGGGGACTCCATTTATGGCCAGCTAGCCAGGCTGGTGACATGAGCTGGGTTCACAAAAGCTGGCTACATTAATAACTAAGAAAATGGCAAAAGAAGCACGCAACACACAGAAATACCTTTTGCTTGCAGGAATCAGGGAGGCCTCTCAACCTTAAAGGTCCTTGGAAAGAGAAAGAAAGCATGCCTGAGACCCTATTTTTTGAGGGGAAGACACTTGAGAAAGTTCCACCCAAGTGAGGGAAGGAATTGAGTTTCAGGGGGGGTGTAACCCAGTCCCATTGGGTGACTGCCCACTCCTGGAGCTTCATTCCCCTGCTGAGCAGAGGTGAGGTCCACCTGTTTTGTCCACTGCTGAAGCCAGTCTCACACCTCCATTACTCAAGGCTAAGGGTACATCCTCATTCCTATGTGGCATCTCCTGATACACTGTGGCCAGAACTTTTGCAGTTTTAGATTTGACAGTGAAAGTAGCATGAATTTCATTTGAAAATTTATTCTTGCTGTAGATCTTAGCAACCTCAACAGACAATTTATTTATTTATTTTTTAAGTTGAGAACCTTTACCTTTTTACTTAATGGAAGCATTTGACAGCTTCTTTTTGACACATCCACATTGCCAGCATCACTGCTTTGGGGCTTTAGGGTCATAATTAAGTAACTAAGGGTTACTCAAATATAAGTACTGTGATACCATAACAGTCAATCTTATAACCAAGACAGCTATTAAATGTATGCAGGTAGTATTTATACTGCATCTATACTATGCATCAGCTGTGTATTCATGTCCCCAGTAGAACAGAGTGAGATTTCATCACACTATTCAGAACATTGTGTGATTTAAACTTATAAATTGTTTATTCCTGGAATTTTCCTTTTAATATATTTGAATCATTGTTGAACTCAGGTAACTGAAACCATGGAAAGAAAAACCAAAAATGGAGAATGGAATCATTGTCTAGAAAATGTAATTTTTTACATTTATAATTTGCCTAGCAATATAATATAAATACTTTTTAATAAGTCTAATACATAATGTCTTAGACCTTTAATGATAAAGTTATGAACTTTTATTAAAAGACATTATTAATTTAATGTGGAGAAACACTACATTAATGAATTAGAACACTTAAATGTTGAAAACAATATTATTTCTCAGTGCACATGGAATCAAATACCTAATATTTGGGGAATTTTAATGTTGTTATTATTAATATTTTTAATATAATAAAATGCTATTATTTTAGTAGCATTTTGATGATACTTGACACTATAATTCTGAACTTATATAGGGTAGTTATTCAAAAATTACAAGTGCATGCCTAAAGAATAAGATGTTTTTCCTGCCCTATATCAAGGAGGTCTGGTTTTCCTGCCTTTATATCATGATTTAATATAAAACCATAGTAATTAAGCTAGTGTATGATTTAGGGATATACAAATTGCCCAATGGAAAACAATAGAGAATTCAGAAACAGATCCACCTGTATATAGAAACTTTGTTTTATTATAAAACTGGTGTGTACTGGTCAATGAAAAGTGGACACAGTTTTCAGTATATGGCTTAAGGCATTAGACTGTCCATACGAAAGAGAATGAAGTGGGATTCCCAAACACAATGGGAAAAAAAAGTTAAAATGTTTTAAATTAACAATTATAATTAAATTTAATTATAAAACTAAAAATTAGAAGAAGCAGAATTCAGGAAAGAAGTTGAAGAAAAACCAAAACTTTCAAAGAAATGAAAACAAGAATTTGAAAGAGTGTAAGAGAAAAAAGATGGTGCAGAAATCAGAGGTCATAGAGATTAGAAATGAGAGAAGTAAATAAATTCAAGTGTACATCTGAAGAAATGATAAAATATCTTAGTTTTAAAATATCAATGTTTACAATACACCAGGAACCATATCATTAACTTTTCTCATGCTTCTGAGTTATATACCAGAAATCAAAAAGTCATCTATAAATTATTTTAATGATGACTCTAATGACAACTTAATTACCCTATCATCTGTAGGTTACTAAAGACTAGAAATCGCTTGACTTATAGAGGAATTTGCTCTCACTTTCTCAGCTTGAGGAAATTTTATCAAAAAGGCTTAACTAAGATTTATCAAATGACTGTTATACTTATTACTCTTTTATGTAGAAGCACCCTATTTAATCCAATATACTTAGAAAGGGTTGTAAGAACTATTATTAATTGCAACATATATATGTCAATAAATAATTTTTAGAGAATTTTTTAAAGATCTGTCTTAATTATATTTTTAGCAAAGCTTGTAGCTGTAAATAGAGATTACTTAGTTTAGGGAAAATGGCTGCCATTTAATCTAATTTACAAAGCTAGTCTTCATTTTTAAATTTATCTTTCAAATAAGACATCCTTCTTTCAGTAAAAGTCCAACTTGATTTTTTAACTCAAATAAATATGTTAATATATGCCGCCATGACAACCATCACATGGCAGAATTCTAATTCTAATATAGATAAATAGGTAAGGCACAGAGCCCTGCCATGTGTTGCCTGGATACAGTAATGTACTGCTGCCTTCAGTGTTTCTTTGCTTTGTGCTCACTAAAGTCTCCTAGAGAGATGCTTCTTTAACAGTAATCAGGCTGTGGAAGAAGGAAAGGCTTTAGGTAAAATATCATCTCTACTGCTTTATTTTATCTGATTTATAATATTATAATATGGACCCAAATACTCAATTACTTAATAAAATATATATGAGATAGGAAAAGAACAATTTCATTGATTAAAGGAGAATTTTTACATAGCATTGTTTTAATTTGTCCCCTTCTTTGGCCACCTGGGGTTTTACATCCCAGGAATTATACATTTCTTTTATAAAGTGGAGGAAAGGTAATTGTGAAGTGGGGAAAGGAGCCAGCATGATAACTTGGCTACCAGCGTATTCCCAGAAAGATCAGTATTAGGAAGAATGAAGGTTGAGGAGCTAGAAATTGGTTGTCTTAAAACGATCTTATCTTGCCTTAAAATTACACATTTCTTGGAAAGTCTTTGTAAAAACCCAAATGTTCCTCAGTTTGAGGGCTACTGACATATGGGAAAGGTAAGATAAATTCATTATATGTATAATTGTCAACACAACAATAAAAAACCTAAATTAATGAAACCAATGACTAGATATTAAAATAAAATAAAAGTCAACTTGAATTTAAATATCAAAAGAGCACACTGTGTGCCTTGGCCTTATAAATTTCATGGACCTCAGATAAAGAAAATTTCTCTGTGGAATCAGGCAATAGATTGAGATATTTATAAAAGGGAAAATGATGCTGGCCTTAGATTTCACTTGATGTAAGAAAATAGAGCATAATTTTAAGATTTGTTTTAGAAAAGAACAGGTAATTTTTTAGACTTTTGTATTTGTCTCATCTTTCAAGTATAAGTCAACAAATAGTTGTGAACTAAAAAAAAAGTTTTTAAAGTATTCCTTTGAGCCTTTATGAGGAAATACTAGAAGATAGACTCTTCTCAACATGGTTTTGCAAGGTAAAGATTTGAAGTAGCCAAAACATCTTCTGCCAGTGCTGAAAGCATTTTTTTTCATTTTTAGATGAACTGTGGGTTCTGGTAACACTACCTATGAGCAAACGGACTGATTTCTCAGGCCTTTGAGGTTCTCCAAAATTAGAAAAGAGTCATTCAGCTGTCTCATCATTAATGGAAAGGACCTGAGCCAAGAGGCTGGAGAAGAGAATCAACCACATAGAATAGAGTGTTTGCTGCATTCAGGTTCAACTTCCTCAACCCAAAGATGAAACACTAAGTTTTCATACCAATTTCTAAAGGTTAGTTCATGATGAAGTTGACAGAATTTGGGTAATGGACTTTACTTAATGTGAGTGTTGTTTATCAAAAAAATTTTCAAAAAACATTAACTTTGCATTTTTCTAGGTAAAACAAGTTAAATCAGTAATAGATCTCATATGCGTGGGTTTAATAACCCCTGAATATGTTTGGGTTGGTAAGAAAAGTGGAATATAACATTCCTGGCTTTGGAACTAAACTGCATAGTTGTGAGCTATGGCAAAATATGTGTCCTTTATTCCTTTCTGAGAAGTATTAAATGAAGAGTATTATATTTTTGTCTATATCTGAACCAAATTTTCTACTGGCTTTACCCTGTTTTTGACCTCTATGGTTGATGGTGGCAGATAAGAAAAATGAAGTCTGTAATAAGTTTATCTGAGAGTGAGCTGCAGTACTCTTTGGTACTAACACTGCAGCCAAGGTGCTAGATAATCCAGGCCATGAATTGTGTTCTGCAGTCTGATTGCCCAGAGAGCAGATAGAATTGCCGAGTAAAAAAAAGGATGGTGAGGCTTTATTAATTTTGCTCCCCTCAGAAGAAAAAAAAATGGTGCAACAACTTCTTGAAATGAGAGTGTGCCCATGAAAGAAACAAAGAATATGAATCCAGAAACACATAGAAACATTCAGGAAAACAAAAACAAAACTGGAGTCACTTTAAGCCCCAAAATAACAATTAAAAGACTTCAAACATGTTTTTTTTCCCCTATGTTTACCTATACCTTAATATGCTGTATCTCTTGATCTTGTTATGACATGTTGGATAAGATTTCTTTGGAAAATGTGGAATCAACTGATGAAAGAAATTGTAAATGTGCCTGGGGCTCTATCCCTCCAGGATGGCTAAGTGGAAGAATTTAGAGTCTATTTAGTATTAGTAATGAAGTGGGTGGGGATGGGGGAGAGGAAGATGGGGGTGAAAATGGAAGAAAAAGTGGTAAAAAAAATAAAGTGGTCTCAAAATTTGTCCACTCCACATACTGACAAAGCACAGAAAATCAAGAAGATTCATTTGAAGTTCATGAGCAGAGATGAGGATATATATTATATAAATGTTTATATATTATATATATTTACACACACGTGTGTGTGTGTGTGTGTGTGTGTGTGTTTATAATCTGATGTAGAGGAATAGGTTTGGCAATGGCCACCAATGCAAAAATTCAACATAAAGGATACTAAGGAAGAGGACTATAGTGGAATAAACTTCATAAAACAAACAAACAAAAGACTTCAGAAAGAGAACAAATTTGATCAAGAAGATTATGGAAGAGTAAGGTAAAGCACATGAAGAGAAGACTTTTTAAAGGGAAGCCCAAAGAGAAGCCACCAAAAGGCAAGCAAAGGCCAAAGATGAAAGAGATGCCTTTTAGGATTGGGATGATGGGGTGGGGGGATTTGATCCATTCACTCTCAGACCCTCTAAAGACAAAGTATGAAAAATATGGTAGGGGAGCTATGAAAATAAAAATTAGTAACACCAGGAAGAAACCAAATGAAGAAAAGGAATAACAGTGAGTGGAACATACCACAGTAGAAAAGGCTGCAGTGGAACAGAACAAGGCCAAGCCAGAAACCATAATGTCTTTGCATACAGACTTATCTTTAGGAGAAAACAAAGAGCTTGTGTTACATCTGCTCAAAGTAAAAGTTAACTACTTCCTGCTTTTCTCTTCTTTTGAAACTCCTGGTTGTGACTTTGTGAGCCAGAAGTCAAAAGAATTGGCTTTGGAGCACGTAAGTAATGTGAGTCCCATGCCTAAAGGATCAGTGAATCTGCAGACAAAGTGATCATGTGTCTAACCCCCTTCTTGCCCCATCGTAGAATACAGTTGAAGCAAGAGCAGATTATAAAATTCTCCTGATCCTATTTCTAGAATTTGTGTTTTAGATTTTACCTGTTTCTTTTATTTTGCTGCCAAGTTGTAGAGTCCTTGTCCCATTTCTAAAAATTCTTGACTTGTTTTCCATACAGACCATATTATGTATTATTAAACAAAATTTCTCAGAAGTTTGATGGATTTAATATTTCTGAAGGGAGAGTATGGGAAAGCAGCCCTAAGAAATAAGTACTTTTGCATTGTGATAGTAAATTATATACCTTTTTCTTATTTTTAATAAAAGTAGGACATTTGGGGATATATTTAACAAAAGACATGCAGAATCTCTACTTTGAGAACAAAACAGTACTGAGAACAATTAAAGACTTAAATAAATGAAAAGAGATACTTTGTTCATGGACTGGAAGACTGAAATAGATGACATTTCTTCCAATGTTGATCTATAAATTCAACATTAATCCCTATCATAATCCCACAGGTTTATTTTTTGTAAAAGTGGCAAGCCAATTCTACAAGCAATATGGAAATGTAAAAAACTGATAATCTCCTAAATAATCTTCTAAACATAGCTAGACGACTTGATTTTGTACCTTAACTATAAAGCTACAATAACCAAGACAGTGTGTTACTGCCATAAAGATTAATAAATAGGTCAGTGCAATTGAATAGAGAGACCAGTTTATACCCACACTTATATAGTCATTTGATTTCTAACAAAAATCCAAAGCAACTCAGTGGGGAAGGAAAAAGAATTTTTATAATGGTACTGTAGCAACTAGATATCTAAACCAAAATAAATCTCCATTGCTATCTAGCACCATGTACAAAGATCAATGTGAGATGGATCATATTGCTAAATGTAAAAGCTAAAACCATAAGGACTTGAGAAGAAAACATTGGAGGATGTCTTTATGACCTGGGGGTAGGCAAAGATTTCTTAAGATGTAAAAACAATCACAGTAAGAGGAAAGTTTTATAAGTTAGAATTTATCAAAATTAAAAAACCTTGTGTTCATCAAGAGAGAATTAATGAAAGGAAAGCCACAGACTGGGGAAAAACATTTATGAAGCATGTATTTGTCAAACTATGTAGATACAAATTTATACAGCTCCATAACAAGAAGACAAAACAAAACAAAACAAAAAAAGTGTTAAAGCAGACAAATGATTTGAAAAGATACATAACTTGGACAGACCCTGCCCAGCAGAAGACATTCACATGGTAAGTAAACATGTGCTCTGCAACATTAATCATCTGGGAAATGTGAGTTAAAAAATATCACTGATTCAAAGCCAGCCTCAGCAATGGCAATGCACTAAGCAACTCAGTGAGACCCTGTCTCTAAATAAAATACAAAAAAAGGGCTGGGGATGTGGCCTAGTGGTCCAGCGCCCCTGAGTTCAATCCCTGGTACGAAAAAAAGGAGGATAATGAGATATTCATCATAATTGCTAAAATTAAACAGATTGTTAATGAATTTCTTATACATCTTAAACAAGAATCTTATACATTTTAGGAAAAAAGGTCTGAAAGTTTCTTACAAAGTTAAACATACACTAACTTGATGTTATGATCTGGATCTTAAATGTCCCCCAAAATTTATGTTTTGAAGGCTTGCTCCCCAGTGCATCAATGTTCGTGTTTGGTGTGTAGGGGGGTAGTCTTTGGAAGGTGATTAGATCATGAATGCTCAGGCCTCATAAACAAATTAATCTACTTATGGATTCATCACTTAATGGGCTTGGGGGGGGGCGGGGGTGTTGCTATAAAGGCAAGCTCTCTTTCTGTTTTCTGACCATCATGAGATAATCAGTTTTGCTTCATCACATATTTCCCACTATAACGTTTTGCCTTGTGATGGACCCAAAGCAATGGGGCCAACTGAACATGAACTAAAATCTGAAACCATGAGCCAAATAACTTATTTCCTGTTAAGTTGTTTTTCTCAGGTATTTGCCACAGCAACAGAAAGCTGACTAATATACCTAATGACTCAGCAGTTTTCCTAAAATACGTGAAAATATAAGTTTACCAAAAGATGAAATATCACAAGTATATACTATTTTATGTCTGTCAGACTGGCAGAAATGTTGGCAAGAAGTAGAACATCCTGACCTCTCTTACCCTATTAGTGGTTATATAAATGGGGTATACATATAAAACAGTTTGTCATTATCTAGTAAATTGAGTATATACTACCTCACCAGTTCTAGGCATAGAAGCTTGCAAATGTATATGAAGAAACATGTGTAGGAATTTTTCAGAAAATTGAAACCAGGTCAGATATCCAACAAAAGAAGACATAAATTGTGCTTGCTGTATTCAAATAAATCATCAGGGATAGATTTCATAAATGTAATACTTAGTGATAAAACCAAGTGACAGAATTCTTCCAATATAATTCTGTCCAAAATCTTGCCAAAATTAAACATCATATTGAGCATACACACACACACACACACACACACACACATACACACACACTAGAAAGTAAAGAAAAAATTTAGGGTAGTGGAGGAGAAAGCATGAGAAAAAAGATTGGAATGGGAAAGACCATAAAGGAGACTTCAAAGTCTTGAGTAATGTTCCATTTCCTAAACTGGCTAGTGGGAAAACGGGTGTTCATTTTATTATTTCTTTTTAACTTACACATATGTTGGAAGTATTATTTGGTATGTATTCAATTTTAATAGTTTCTTCAGAAACAAATGTAAATTTTAGAGTTAAATAATCTTTAAGGATGCATAATTAGCAATATATTTAAAATGTAAGAAATATTTGTGATATCATTAATCCAGTCATTCATTCAAGTGTTTATCAAATGCTTGGGCACAGACTGATATGGATATGACCTTGGTTGAGGCTTTATTTAAAAGCTACAGTTTTGGTAGCTATCTTAAAAATGAGTTAGAAAAACAACTGAAACAAAAAATGATTATAATTCATATTAGAAATAATATAAATCTCCTGGCACTATTTCTCAGAAGTTATCACATTATTACTTAAAGAAGGGAAGGAAAATTATGGATTTCCACTTGAGGGGAAGGGTAAATGAAACCATCAGGAAAGACAAAAGTGATTTTTTTTATTCTTGGCTCTTTGAATGAATCTCCTTCAAGTAGAATTCTTTTAAAATATGGGCCAGACAACTGGGAGGGCCCAGTTCCTGCCTCCTTCCCTAAATGCTGACCCAGCTGGCTTCCAAAGGCACATTTTTATGAATTGAACTGATTATTGACCCCTCATTGAATTTAATTTATAATTAGGTCATGGAGATTGTATCCCATAATTTATTCTCTTGGAACGATAATTCTCAGGGTACTGTGGCTAACACCTAGATCTTAAAACTGTATTGTTGAATTCTAAACATTTGAGGTACTTATAAATTTTTCATCTCAACATTTCTTGCAAAATCTGTGAACAGTTTTCATTAAATCAACTTTCTAGAAAATACAGGTTGAACTCTCTATCTATAATGTGGCCCTAAATTTGTAGCTTAAGGATTTACCCCAATTCTTAACTCTATTAAGTATCCCAACATACCTGTGGATACCAAAGAATAAATTCATAATGTTAGATATCTGGCAGGATGACAGTCTGATCCCTTATATGAACTATTTAAATATACACAAATGTAATTCAAAAGCCTTATTGCTTCATTTATCACAGAAAATGCCAGAGTTCTGTAATATTTTGTTAAAAAAACTACTCAACTTGTATGAATTCTCATAGAAAATATACACAAATATTATGCCAATTTAATCCTAAGTATTGAAGTTAGGGTTCTAAATGACATTTAATACTGTGATTTATTTTCTATCTTAAGCTTTATAGGGCACAAAACAAGATCCTATCCTTTCATATTGCTTTTTATTTTTAAAGATCCTGAGTGATGATAAAAATCTAAGCTTAAGAACCATCAAATGATTTATGATATTTCATTTATTTTTCAAAGGGTTGGGGTGTCACCAGTAAGCCTATTAGAATTGTAGGTTTAAAGTTCCATGATTTTAAAAAAGGCCAGCTGAATAAACAATATGTGAGCTTTGTAATTTAATTCTACATGATTTTTTTAATACTTCAAAGTTCCAAAGGAGGCAATTTTTCTTAGGTCATAAATAGTTGTTTATGTCATTATGATCTCAAACTTTCTAGTACCATTCAAGATCTACTTTTTAAAATATTAATACTTCTGTTTTATGTTTGTTACAACTTCAAGATATCTTTTTCTTTTTTCTCCTAAAAATCTCACTTTCTCCATGAATTGACACTAGTAAAGATGGAATATGGAGAAACTGGAGGAAGACTACTTTTGAAAAATTATAGTCATAGATGGGCAATCTAATAACTATCTTTGAAAATGTATTGAAAGCAATTTAATGCTACTTTTATTATTTTTTTTTTTTGTTGCTAGGGTTGAACCCAGGACCTTGTGTGTGCTAGGTAAGTGCTCTACCACTGAGCTACACCTTCAGCCATATTAATTGTTATTTAATTACACTTTTAAGTTTGGGGTAATTATAAGTCCACATGCAGTTATAAGAAATAATACACACACACACACACATACACACACATTATATACCCTGTACAAGTTGCCCATCCATGGTAACATTCAGGATATTAACATTGATACAATTTAGATCTTATTTAGCTTTCCCTATTTTTTTAAACTTATTTGTATATCTCTAGTTAATTCTCTGCAGTTTGTATGACATGTGTAGCTTCTTGTAGCTGCTACAGTTAGTATGAACATTTCTATCATAAGGATTCCTCATATTGCCATTTTATAACCATATTAATCTACCCTCTGACTTTCCCACCCCCATCCCTAACTCTTGGAAAATACTAATCTGTTTTCTGTTGTTGTTTTTTGTCTAATAATGTGTAAATGCAATATCTAACCTTCTGGGATTGACTTTTTTCACTTGAGTATAATTCATTGAGATTCATTCAAGTCGTTGCATCTATCAATAGTTCATTTCTTTTTGTTGTTGAATAGTATTCCATTAAAATCTATTTTGATTTTGTTTATATATACATGCAAAATGTGATGAGATGATGCAAAATGTCAGTGTTTAATTGTTGAAATTAGCCAATTAATAAAATGTCAAATGTTTTGTTATTTTAGTTATTCAGACTGGATTTATCTATACCTTTACATACTAAGATCAGATGAATTATTTACCTGTATACTGAAAATATATTTCCAGCTTTGAGGAGGGGTCATTTTATTGCCTAACTCTTTCTGATAAAAACTGCAGGTTTGGAGATGCAAGACCATTCTTTGTCCTAATTCCTGCAGATTTGCTCTTTCAATCCCCCTACCCCCCTTATACAGCCTGCAATAACTAACTCTCTTCATATAGCCTGTTGTTACCCAAGTAAATCTCCTTACTCTTGTGCTTATGCTTGCTTCTTCGACTTTAAATTCTGGATAGTTGAAATACTTCTCTCTTCCTTCCTTCTAAATGCACTTTCCCTTGTTGTGCCATGAAGGAAGGCACAGAGCACTGAGTAAGTATTTGGCTCCTCTGAGAGGCCAGGGAAAGCTTCTCTAAGGAGGGTACATTGAAGCAAGTAATCTGAAGAGTGAATAGGAATTAACTGACAAAAGAGAAAGAGGAAAGAACATTTTAAACAGGAATGGACGTGTACAAGACCCCATGGCTGTAAGGAGCAAGGCAAGCAGGAGGAATTGGATTTTGATACTTTTTAATAGTGAATCTCCTGAATGTTCTCCAGAATATGTGAAATTTTAGTCTTGATATGCATTTTTTAGCGAGGAACACAAAAATATATTAAGAGAATTGCCCAAAGTCAAATAACAAGTGAAAGGGAGGATTTGAATGCAAGAAATCTACCTCCAGGGCCCACACTCCTATACACTACCTATGGCAGGCAGACAGAGGTCTATAGGTTTATAGGTCTGGAATTCAGAGAAGAGGTCTGGACTAGAGATTAAAAATACCAAAAAGATTATTTTTAATCTGTATCAATGAGGTATGAATAAAGCTATAGTTATGGGAGAGGTATCCTAGGGAGTGAATATAAATTAAGACATGATTTTTACCTTAAGGTGCTTTGGCATTCAATGGCCAAGTGTGGCCAGAAAAGCTGAAAGGAAAATAAGGGTTTCTAGTTTATTTAGGTTAAGGGAAAAGAGTAGATTATGAACAGCATTTGTTTTTCTGTTAAAATATTCAGATAAGATAAGTAACAAACAGCATCTATGGATGACTCCAATAAAAGTGATTTTGGAAGAGTGGTATGGTGGAGCTCAAGAGCATATCAAGACTGAGGAAGAGTAAGAACATTTCAACAATTTAAAAAAATTTATTTTTAGTTGTAGATGGACACAATACCTTTGTTTTATTTATTTATTTTTGTGTGGTGCTGCATTTTGAACCCAGTGCCTTAAGTGTGATAGGCAAGCGCTCTTCCACTGAGCCACAACCCCAGCCTTATTTCAGCAATTTTATAGAGAAGTTTATTTGAAATGGGTAATATCTAGATAGACCTGTGGGCTGCAGCTAGAGAAGATATGAGGCCAAATGGTTTTGGTTTTGTTGTTTTAATGGGAGAAACTTACGTTTGTTTAAAAGCCAGTGTGAGAGATTGAATATAAGCAAGAGAAAGAATAATGTTTTTATGTAAGAAAAAAACGGATAAAATTGGGGCTGGGGATGTGGCTCAAGGGTAGTGTGCTCACCTGGCATGTGTGCGGCCCGGGTTCGATCCTCAGCACCACATACAAAGAAAGATGTTATGTCCACCGAAAACTTAAAAAATAAATAAATAGTAAAATTCTCTCTCTCTCTCTCTCTCTCTCTCTCTCTAAAAAAAAAAAAAAATAGGCAGGGGCTTGAACTCAAAAGGAGAAGGGGTATCCCCTCTATTGGGTCAGATGAGAAGTAGGAGGGATCAGAGTCTCTTAGGTACATTGTGTATGATACTGGGAAGATGAGTGACTGTCTGACCACTTCAGTTTCCTCTGGCAAATAATGGTGAAATTGAGAGAGGAGTTGTAGTCCTGGAAGTTTGAGGAGTTAGTGGAGAAGGCTTTGTATTTATCCAGGTGGTTTGCTCTTGTGTTTCCAAAAATAATAAGGGCAGTGGGTTTCTTAGTGGACCACAAACACCCCATTCCCAGCACTTGCTCGCCTTGGGGAGATGAGGATTTATAGAACTCAGAGAGTTTGGAGCTATGTTGATGCAACTCTTATTTGTGTGTCCATTGCTTCCAAAAATAAGGTTTAGAAATAAATGAGGAACTTAGAAAGTACTATACTATAGAAAATTCTAAGCACATTTTTGTAAAAAGCATTTGCAGTAATTGAAAGTTTTGTTACTGAGAATCTTATGGTACTTAAGATTATGGACATGTTATATTTTATTTTGCCTCTTTTAAAAGATGTGTTTTCTACCCAGAAGACTCCTTAACCAGCTTTTTAAGGACAGGGCCTATATTACTAAGCAAGCTGCTGAGTGTGTGCCCTTAAGCATTCACTAAATAAATGGTGAGAAAAGTATGAAATATTGCAATTCAACTGTTATTGTGGGATATATTTCATTTGTTGAGGGGATTTTTTTTTATTAAAACATACTTTTTTAGTAAACCTTTACCAAATAGATTTGAAATAACAGTGATTCCCCCCTTTTTTTTTTTGCTGACTTACTTTCCCTTGCCCATTTAAAATGTATTTATATAATGTAACCAAGTACCAGTTATAAATGTCATTTATTAAATTATGAAAATTATTAAATTATGAAAATTCTATTTGCTTGAACTACATTATCTTGGGATTTTGATACTTTTTATAGTGAATCTCTGAATGTTCTCTAGAATGTGTGAAATTTTAGTCTTGATTTTTGAAGGAAAATTCTTGACAATAATAGTTTTAATTTCAACTCTATTAATTTAGAATTGGCTTAGGAACAACAGAATGTTTACACAACAATGCCTTAAAAATACTAAAAGGTATTTTATTTTCACTGTCTTTATCAAGAATACTGTAGGTAAAAAGATAATGTGTCTCTGTAAATGAAGTAGTTTTCACTATTATAGAAATAAAGGTTTTGTTTAAGCCAGTGGTTCTCAAAAGGAAGTGTTGTGATCAGCTCCTGCTAAGTAGATCTTTGTGTTCCAGTCAGATTTGGCAGTGCCACATCCTTTGTCTGTTATATCTTTGCCCACCTGTGACTATAGGGGGCTTATTCTGGGAGTGGATGAAAAAATGTTCTATTCCATTCTTCTGGACCTAGACTGGAGGACTACAGGAATCTAAGTATTTGCTGAAGCATAATATTCTTGTCTCTTCCTAAGCACCCATCACTTCTTCTTGCCTTCATTGACCTTAATGTTCTCTATTTTCCTCTCCAAGAACTTGCTTCCTCCAATCCACCATCCTTTCCTCTTTTCTGAGCCTGTTGCATTAGTTGAATCTTCTTCCCCACTCCCACACATGCTAACTTTGGGAAAGCTTTCAGCGTTTCTGCATCTAGCATGTCCCAAACATGGGTAGAATACAGAGAGCTCCTTCCCAAGAAGTGCCCACTTTAATCTAAGGAGCTTCAGTCCTGTAAAAAGAGTTACTTGACAAAGATAACTGAAAAATTTCTTTGCATTCCTATGTATACCCTACTTGTGTGGATATATTGCAGTGTGGTCACCAAACTTGGAACACATGGTGTGCCAGAGCATATTTTTAGATTCAGTCTGTTCTCCATAGTGGTTACCATGACTGCATGAGCCAAAACTCCTTCTGAAGTACCTTTACCCTGTTTTATTTAGATCATATAGTTACTGTCATTAAATTTGGAACATTAGTATTTCTTCTATCATTAATACTGACTTTTACAAGTGTGAAGATAATTCACCATGCAGTATCAAAAAGCAGAATGTTTTTATTACTTCCTTAAAGAGCTCGTATGATGTAAGAGTTGCTGTTCAAGATGATGAAGAGTGAATAGGATTGAGGACTAAGAAAAGAAACTTAAAGTAAAAAGTTGTCTGGGCCAGGCTCAGTGGTACACACATGTAATCCCAGCTGCTCTGGAAGCTGGAGCTGGAGGACTGTAAGCTCAAGACCAGCCTTGGCAACTTAGAAAGACCCTGTCCTAAAGTAATTTTTATTTTAAAGGCTAGGGATATAATTCAGTGGTAGAGAACTTTCCCAGGAAGCACAGTCCTGGGCTCAATTCCGAATTCCCCCCCACCCCACACACACACAAAAGAGTTTTTGTCTGATATTTATTATTTCAGATATTATTTTCTATTTTTCAGAAATATAGAATTTCAATCCACAATAAGAAAAGTTAGAAACTTTTGAAGGATTTGGAAAGTGATGTAATTTTACTGCTGCCCAAGTAATGATAACAATAATTTAGTAGCAGCTCCTGGGAATTATTTGTGAAGGTACTAACTGTTGACTGCATAAAAT